GCTATAGAAGAATAACCCTAAGAATCCTGGCAAGCACAAAATCCACAAAACTGTAAAGAGCCCTGCTCCAAATTTGATAAAAATCTTTCTTTGATTGTAGAGTGTATGCAGTCAAGCCAAGAAATACTGCAGTTGTCAATATAAAAGCTTGTAGAACAATATATACATCATAGAAAGGAACAACAATGGCCACAGTCAGAGCTTCCAATAGTGTAAATCCAAAAAGCAGGTATAAATTAAGGGGATGCTTATGTCTGTTCAGTGTCAATGTGAAAATCATACCCAAAGATCCAAGGGCAAACACCAAAATGAGAGCAGGGCTCTCATCCACAAATGTCCGTATAGACTCAAAGTATAAAAACACGGAACATGTCACTGTAGTCAAGAGAACTTGCAGAGAAAAGATGCTATAAACCTTTCTTAGAAAAGCCATTCGCATGTGCACGCTGGCCGAGGCCACGCAGCTGCCATAGTTGAAGTCATCCTCGATTGACGAGGATGGGTAGAGAGGGTCTGAGCTGGCCATGGCGGCGAGAGAACCCCGAGCTACCCCAGTGAAGAGGAGACGACACCTATCACAAGGGACATCCACTCAGTTAAAAAAATTTTTTTATTGTATTATTTTTATGTGTACTGTCAAATCAGATCTGACTGGTACAGGAGACTGCCCCCTCCTTCTCCAGCAGAGCATCTGATGGATTTGAACCGCGTACCTCTGGGATTGCAGTGCAGCATCTTGCCACTCCAGTTCACTTTTTAAAAAAATACTCATTTATTGTTGCACAATTACCTACCTATTCCCCTCCCTCCCCAGTCCTCTTTGCAATGATGTCCTCTAATTCTATGCTGTTGTACATATAATGCCTAATCATATATTCCTCTTATTTTTTATTCTAACCCTAGCCCTGATGCCACGTTCCTTCTTATACTGCCCAACTCCTGGATGATCTCTTCTGCATATAGATTGAAAAGATAGGGAGACAGAATACATCCCTGGCTATAACCTTCCTGATTTTGAACCATGAGTATTCCCTTGCTCTGTTCTGATGACTGCCTCCTGGTTCAA